GGGAAAACCATAGGGTTTTCCCATGTATGGCTGTGGCCCCGCCCCCAGCGTGCCTGCGTCACTTCCAGGTGACGCGCACGCCGGGACCGAGTTCCGCGGTGGCGGAAATCGGGCCTCCGAAGCGGGGGTTTACCCGCCACCTGCCCCCACTTGGCAGCCCTAGCCCCTCCCCAAACCCCGCCCTCTCCCGGATCCACCCCCAAAGTCTCCAGGTATTTTCCAACCCAGGCCTGGCAACCCTATAGCATCAGGTATCCATGATGACTTTCCCCTCCCTTCCTGTTCTCTGCTTCTTCTGACTTTTTCAAAAATGCTAGTACCTTAAAGAACATCCAGACCAGCATTTTTTCCAAATGGTCTGCTTCCAAAGATGTAGTCACGAGGTGGGGTGGGGGGGCTGTGGGGAACTTGTGCCCCTGAGTGGTATTCTAGGCTTTGCCCCTGAATTTTCACCTTCCTTTTTTTTTTTAATTTAAAGCGGGAGGGACCAATGCTTTTAATTAACAGTGAAAATGTGTAGACAGAATTCTGCTTAATTGCTCAGTAGATGTAACCTCTGCTTCTGCCTTCCAGCGTTCCGAACAGTTAGTAGGTTAAGTGAACAGTGTTTGGGTACAGGGGATTTATTTAGAATTCTATTTCATTTTTACTGAATGCAATAAATTAAGGATGTGGAATTGTCTGGTGTAGCTTGTTCTCATTAGTTCTTGGAAGATAAGCAGAGTCAATACTTCAACAGGAGACCTTTAAGGAAGACTCTGCAGAGGAAGGCGATGGCCAACTACTTTCTGCTTCTCACTTGCCTTGAAAGCCCCTTGCTGGGGTCGCCATCAGTCAGTTCTGACTCGATGGGGCATAAATGCATGATGTGCTAAATTCAATACCTTTGCATTTCTTTGGTTACAGACTATTTGTGTGTTGGTTTCTGCTTAATGAATTAATTAACTATCGTATGGCATTGTGTGGAGTATAATGAAAAAAGGAAAAAGAACTGTGACAATTTAGCGCTTGGTAATATATTCATATATCATAATCTTGGTGACGTATTAGAAATATACTGTTGATTCACTTCATCATGAGGCATTCAGCAATTATAGCCCATTGAAGAACATAGCTGTAAGCATAGCCTCATGATGAAGTGAATCAACAGCATATTTCTAATACGTCACCAAGAGAAATGAATTGTTGAAAGACAGTTTTTGTACACACCCTTGTTCAGAAGATCATTGTCGAAACGGCACATCATTCCAGAGACCACCGTCTACATTCACTATATATATTACTTATTTTCTGTTATTGTATATTCTGATTTATGAATATATTATCAAGCGCTAAATTGTCACAGTTCTTTTTCCTTTTTTCATTGGTCTTATTACTGTGCCCATTCTTGTAACTATTGTGTGGAGTATAGCCAGGAGATCCTAAGATTGTCTGGCAGCCGGAAGTTCTAGCTCTTTAACGTTATGCACCACTAGGTGGCAAGCTAGACTTATTTTTGAGGCAAGAGACATCTCAGAGGTACTTGGCCATTGCCTGCCTCTGTGTCATGACCCTGGTATTCCTTGGAAGTTGCCAGTTCAAATACTAGCCAGGGCCGACCTGGCTTAGCTTCCGAGATCTGACGGAATCAGGCTAGCTTGGGCCATCCCACGTTTCTGCTGTTTCCTATTGACTCAGTGCCTCTTCTGCTGAGTCCCACAATATCGAGGTGGGTTGCTGCCGTCCACACCGTATTGTTTGTTAGCGTTCGTGCTTTGTTCTATTATGTTTCCCTTTCTCCACCAGAAATCTTAAAGAGGCACACGCTTTCAAATCATAGGTCTGGCAAAAATCACACATTGTTCCAGTTCTGCCTTTTCACTCTCTCGAGAAACAAAACTAGGGGTTTTAAATCAGGTACAGGGAAAGCTTTGCTATCCGGCACTCGATTATCCAGAACATTCAGTTAACTGGTATTGCCAAGAGACTCAGCTCTTCCCCCCCTCAGCCACCATTTTTATTTTACGTATTTAATTCATTTACACCCCACCTTTCTCCCCGATGGGGACCCAAAATGGCTTACATTGTTCTCCTCTTCTCCATTTGTATCTCCACAACAACCCTACGAGGTAGGTTAGGCTGAGAGAATGTGACTGGCCCAAAATCACCCAGTGAGCTTCCAAGGTACGACTGGGCATTTGAACTTCGGTCTTTCACCAGTACACCACACTGGCTCTCATACCCCAGCATCTTCACGTACCCTCTGGTGCCCCCCTCCTCCTGCCTTTCTAGCTGGATGCCTCTAGCTGTCGCTTGGCTTCTTACAGCAGTGGTGCCACCTGGTGTCGTTCTTGAGTGCCTGCTTTGGGTGCCAGCCGGCCTTGAGCTGTTGGGTGCCAGCTGTGCTGGAGAACTTCTGGAGAACTTGCTGAGCAACTGGTCCACTTGTATGCCTGCTGCATAGGTGGTTCGGGGGAAAGGGGAAGGGTCCCACTAGGCATGAAGAAGAAGAAGAGAAGAGATCGGATTTACACCCCACCCTTCACTATCTGACGGAGTCTCAGAGCAGCTTACATTCTCCTTTCCCTTCCCTTCCCCTCCCTTCCCTTCCCCTCCCCTGTGAGGTAGGTGGGGCTGAGAGAGCTCTTTCGAGGACTGCTCCTGAGAGAACAGCTCTGAAAGAACTTGTGGCTGACTCAAAGTCACACTAGCAGCTGCATGTGGAGGAGTGGGTAATCGAACCCGGTTCTCCCAGATTAGTGCTCCTGACCACTATGCTTAGGGACTGGGGACTGTCAACTTGGTGTTTCCAGTGGGGCAGGCTCGGTTGCTGCAGATCCCTCTGGGTAGTGGGAGGGGCTGAACGATAAGCTTGAGCATCCAGAATGTTTGATTCACCAGAAGCCCCCATAACCTATCAGTGCCAGATAAGAAAACTTTTACTGTCTTCGCTTACAGTGAAATTGCTCCATTGCACCCGTTGGAAGGGGCTGTGTGGCTCGGTGGAAGAGCCTCTGCTTGGCATGCAGAAAGTCCCAGGTCCAATCCCAGCATCTCCAGTA